AAGGTGAAATTAATCTAACTACTGCTGTAAATATTTATTTATATTTATAGTTATATTTATTTATATTCCAGCTACAGTTGTAGCTTATGCTCAAGTAGGGACCTCTGCCTTATTAAATTCTAATTCCTTAATATACCATCATAGGGATAATTCATTCACCCTAGTAACGTTAGTTGAGTGTCGAGGTGCTATTCCCCTACCACAACTATGCTGAACATTATGTGTTGGACATGTTATTCATCATTCTGTTACTTGAAGTAACACTAAATTGAACATTCCGAATATATACATCCTCTGTGTAAAAAAACTTTAACATAAAGAATACAAGACTTGATTACTATTAACAAATCTGAAAGAAGTTCCATGTTAAGAACACAAGTACAAACTAACATAACTTAAAGGTTGTAAGAAATGAGTCCTCTGAACCACTCACTTCACATGGTTTTCACTCTCAAATACTTCCAAACTGTCAACCAATTTGAGCAATAAGGATGTCAGAGAAATACACCGAAGTGATTAAACCATGATACATCCATACAAAACATTAGGCAATAGTTATAAAGAATGAGGAAGGTCTTTAACTCCTGACAAAGATCTACAAATTCTGCAAATTTCATAATATCAATAATTCCATTTATGCAAAAAACATAGAAAGCAAGCATTTCAATATCCATACACTATGGAAGTAAAGAGTTAACAAGTACACCATAAACAGTAGTTAATTCTGGAGAAAAAACAAATGAAAGTAAGACAGTAGGAAGAGAGCTGGTCAAGGTGGACTTTAACTTGTTTGAATTTCATGAGAATGTAGTGGTGTACGTATTATGTGATTTTTAGAAAGTAATTAGATGGGGCTGGCCCCATGGCTTAGCGGTTAAGTGCACGCGCTCCGCTGCTGGCAGCCCGGGTTCGGATCCCCGGCGCCCACCGCTTCTCCGGCCATGCTGGGGCCGCGTCCCACATACAGCAACTGGAAGGATGTGCAGCTATAACATACAACTATCTACTGGGGCTTTGGGGGGAAAATAAATAAATAAAAAATCTTTAAAAAAAAAAAAAAAAAAGAAAGTAATTAGAGCACACACACACACAAGAAATGAAAGGTGCAGTATTTCAAAATGAGTACAAATTAGGATATTATTCTCTAAAATTGCCCATTCTGGTGGTAGTATCTTGACCACCGGTAAATTTCCATTTGCAGTTTATCCCTTAAGACATTCCAGGAAGCTTTCACAAATCTTATTTTACTGTTATGACTTAAGCAGAGAGAAATTTGATATATCTGAGTTTTAGAGTATTTGGTCATAAATAAAAATCCTTCAATGTACTAATGGACTATAAGAAGTTTCATTTACGCAGCTAGAAAGGGCACCCCTACTTCCGCCACTGGCTGAAATGAGGTAAAATGAACGACTGTCAGTTAAAACATAAATGAAACAAGAACCTGGGTCTATGTGGAGAAGGGAAAACTTCTTAACAGAAGGTACAATGAATTCAAGCAAAAATCAATACATGCTAAAATCACTGAGTTTGTTGAGGTACGATAGTTTCAACATATTCTCCCACAGAATACTAATTATAAAGGGAAAAAATAAGTTTACAGTGGAGAAATCTGGTGTCCATCTTAACCAAATAATAAAAGTTAACACAACCAGTAATGTGAAAAACTGACATCATGCACCGTCTGATGTAATGCACCAATATTTAGTATTCCTGCCAAAATGCCTAACCTGAATTGAAGCATGAGGAAACAATCGGAGTAATCCAAATTATGAACCATTCCTTAAACAGCTGGCATGAACTCTTCAAACTTTTTTTTTTTGGTGAGGAAGATCAGCCCTGAGCTAACATCCATGCCAATCCTCCTCTTTTTGCTGAGGAAGACTGGCCCTGAGCTAACATCTACCGCCAATCTTCCTTTTTTTTGTTTGTTTGTGAGGAAGATCGGCCTTGAGCTAACATCTGCCAATCCTCCTTTTTGCTGAGGAAGACTTGCCGTGGGCTAACATCCATGCCCATCTTCCTCCACTTTATATGGGACGCTGCCACAGCATGGCTTGCCAAGCCGTGCGTTGCTGCGCGCCCGGGATCCAAACCGGCGAACCCTGGGCCGCGGCGCGCGCGCACTTAACCACTTGCACCACCGGGCGGGCCCCCCTTCCTTTTTTTTTCCCCCTTTTCTCCCCAAAGCCCCAGTAGACAGTTGCATGTCATAGTTGCACATCCCTCTAGTTGCTGTATGTGGGACGCCACCTCAGCATGGCTGGAAAAGCGGTGCGTCGGTGCACGCCCGGGATCCGAACTCCGGCCGCCAGTGGTGGAGCGCGCGCACTTAACCGCTAAGCCACGGGGCCGGCCCCCTCTTCAAATTCTCAATGTTATGAAGGACAAAAGCTAAAAACCGTTCCAAATTAAAGGAAACTGGAGATGTGACAATTAAATGCAATGGGTGATTAAGAGCAGGAACATTGTTAAAGGTTAGTATAAAGACATTCAATTTGCACAAGTCACATATGGACTGTATATTAAATACTACACCAATCTTAAAAGTCCTGAATTTGATATTTATACCATGGTGGTGCAAGAGAATGCTCTTACCTTTAGAAGGTACAAACTGAAATATTCAGAGATGAAGGGGTATGCCTAAAACCTAATTTCTGGTGGTTCAGCAAATAATACACACACAGTACATGGAAAGCAAATGTGAGCGGTGAATCCAACTGACAGGTACACGAGATTTCAGGGTACCATTCCGGCAACTTCTCCATAAGTTTGAACCTTCCTCAAAATAAAGTTTCTTAACCGTGTCTTTCTTAAGACCTCCTATGTCCTGCTACTTGGGTTAACTATCTGTGCCTTGTTAAGGCATCCAGAAAAATACCCTAGTCTGTCTATGAACCAACAGATTTCTGCATTATCATAATTTAAAGGGGCTGGCCCCGTGGCGTAGCAGTTAGGCGCACGCGCTCCGCTGCTGGTGGCCCGGGTTCGGATCCTGGGCACACACCAATGCACCGCTTGTCAGGCCACGCTGTGGCAGCGTCACATATAAAGTGAAGAAAGATCAGCACAGACGTCAGCCCAGGGCCAGTCTGCCTCAGCAAAAAGAGGAAGATTGGCATAGATGTTAGCTCACGGCTGATCTTCCACACACACACACAAAAAAAAGAATTTAAAAATTACAGTAAAACTACCATTGTACTAGTTGAAATCAAGGAGAAACACAACACACAATTCTTATACTAGGCAATTAACAACTATCTGCCCTAAGGGTCAGATGCTGTTTCAGTGTTTGAATAAAGCAGTGAACATAAAAGCATTCTGGCTCTCATGGAGATTACAATATAGTTGGACACAAAAGCCCACATACTACTTTAACATTAAAAGCTCACTACTGTGCAAGGCATGCAAGACAAGCAAGTCAATTATATAACTTAATTATGCCCAAATAGAGGAAGCATTTTCTATATTTAAGGATACTTATTTGGTTTATCTACTAGAAGAGGTTTTAACACTAAAACTATAGACCAAGCAGGTCAAGTGCTTAATAAGCATTTAAAACTCAAAGCCACTCTATGGACAGAAGTACCATACATCCCCACTTTATACATGAAATAACAGGTTTAGTAAAGTTAAAATAATCTGCTCAATTATAGTAGTAAGACGGGCCAGTTGTGAACCCAGCTTTAACTCCAGGGCCCACAGAACACTTGATACAGTGAGCATCAAAAACTTCTGAAAAGGCAATTTCTTAAGACTGAAACCTTCTGGTTGGCAAACATTAGCACACTGTTAGCACCTTCACCAATCTGCCTTCATGGAGCTGAGGATGACAGCTGTAAAGTACCCTAAAGGGGAGCTCATATTACTACACTGTAACTCTACCTATAAGCTAGGGTCAAGCCCTGATTGAGAACTTGAGGAGAAAAAACAATAGCCAATAGGTCAAGCGTAAATACGTGATACACATAAAAATCCTAACAGGGGTAAGCCTCTGGGAAAGAGGTAGCAAGGGACTGGAGAAAGATACTTGTAACAATTCTTTTATTCATTAAAGATTAAACAAATCAAATCAGACATCATAGCATTTATATATTCAAGATAAATTCCCCACATATCTTTGGTCAGGCAGAAACTTCCGTGCTCCTTGTCACTGATTCCACCATGCCAATAAAATGTTGGGAAATTCATTTTGCTTTGTTGCTGATAAGCAGTCTTGCAGGAAAGGGAAGAGGGTAAATCCCTCTCAACAATTCAATATAAAATACCTGTTCTTGCTTATGACTCAGATCTTCCAGGTCACCTGCTCCATCAGGACAGAATGTAATCCAGTTGCTTCCATGCTTTGCCAGAGGTTTCTCCAACTCCCTTTCCCGTTTCTCTCAGCTCCACAAAAACACATAAGCCTTCCACATATAAAATAGTGCCCTGGGACTTACTGAACACTCAGTGTAACTCAACTTATTTTCCCTTCAATGCATCTTTTTCCAATTACGAGTCAAAATTTACTAACACCAGGCCTGCTGGTAAGAAGGGACATGTACATTAAAACTGTCAAGGGGACCTGTGGCTGGGAAGGAATTACTAGGTACAACCTTCTGTGAATTGTCTGAAGGTTGTTTCTCCCCCATCTGCACCTCCCAGAAAGCAGACTTCAGGAAGATAAGCTTTTGACTGCTACCTACTGGACTGTTACCCGAAACAACGAAGACCGCCATGACCTTTCTACCAAGTATGGGTCAGCTGGGGGAAATAATTAATACACTTACAATTCCAGCAAGATAAATTTGGCTTCCTTGATGCTTGATGTACCAATAATAAACAAAGGCATAAAATGCTTTTTAAAACTTTATTTCAACATAACTATGCTTACAGAAATATACTCATATTGGTTAATAGAATGCGATTTAAGTTTAACTTATCCTACACAATTTGGACCAAAAACTTGGTACATGGTTTAAGCTTTAAAAAAAAAGGATTTGCAATCTAGTTTATTTTTCATCTATTACAAATGTATATAAAAGATCCTCCATCAAATGCTGCTAAAGCAGGCAGCAAGAACCTTGAGAAATTAACCTTTGGTTTGTCTCTGAAAAATAACACGTATTGCACTGTAAAAGTTTACAAAATTGGTGCAACAAAATATTGCTGTAATGTTTCAATGCCAGTTTACAAAGTTCAATAACTAATGGATGTTGAAAAGGGTGGGGAGGGCCTATATACACATGTGAAACTGTAAAAGCTATTTGATTTAGTTAATATTGCATGTAGATCACAAATCTACACAAACCAAGATTCAGACAACTTCTTGGATCTGAATTAACACTATCAATTCAGTTCATCTGCTGAGGTCAATAAGGAAACTCGGCACACTAGTTGTATTTCTGATTTATGCAAAACAGAAAAATGGGTTTCTTCCCCAGCTTTTCAGTCCAGAACTGATACACTACAGGCAAGGTATTCCTTCCACTGTCAACATTCATGGGGTGACATGCGATGAGGTCTACTTGCGTTTAAATTTGTATTCGCACTCATATGCAAAATAGTCCCCTAAGTTAAAGACCAGATGACTTTAGAAATGACTCTAAAAGATGCAACGGCCCTTCTTGGAAGACTAGAGCAAAACATCCAGCCATAGTTATAAGAAGCCTTACCAAAAAAATGTAGCTCCTTGTGAATTACACCTCAATAAAAAAAAAAAAAAAAAAAAAAAAAAGTAGCCCCGAAGAAGCAGCTCTGAAAAGAGGAAAAAATATAACTTAAAATATCTTGAAAACCAATGCGAATACAGGTTCAAAAGATAGTTAAAGAGATACATTTTCATAAGACTACCTAGCATTAGGTTTATAATGTACTCTAGTATTTCAAGTTTATCTCTAGTTACTAAATATCAATTTACAAATAACATGTTCACTTTTCATTTCTTTATCAAAAGGGAAAATTCTAGCTTCAATTCTATCCAGTGGAGGGGAAACTGAGAAAACAAAAAGATTCAAACAGTTCCATGCAAATATCACATTTTTCAAATGGAAGAACTCCCAACTAGACCAGAAGTTCATATTACTAATATGCTTTTCATTGAAACAATTTTTAATAAGTACAAATACATGGCATTAAGGTTCAGAACCTAATATAGGCCTGACAATCAAGTCCTTGTTTTCTGGAAGAAAGGCCTCAAGTCCAACTCAATTTCCAGTAACAATGTTTTCACAGATCAATTTAATAATAAGGGGTTTTAAATGTCTTCATATTTTGTTTTTAGCGTTCTAGTCTTAAAAACTAGATAAGAAAATTAGTCCAATTCCCCAGAGTCGAATTGTTTTCTTTTGTAGTATGAAAGAATCCACAAACACCTCTTCCCCAAACTGATTCCCAATCTCCAATCTGTAATTAACATGAATCTTTTCATATATAATGTAAAAGGTAACTTACATAAAATGTACCCATGAACATTAAAACTAGTTGTTAGAAAGATTTAACTAGCTTTATAATTTAAGTTTTAAAACATAAATATTTGCAGCTTGATTTTCTGTTGACAATGATTGTCGGAGCCGAGAATATACCTAGTATTCAACATCATTTACAAATTTCCATTCATGCACACAAAACACATATCATTAACACACAACTTACTCCTCATGTCTTGAGAGAATCTTCTGCTTCTTTAAATCTTTGGCCTCCCAGTCAATTCCAAGTTCAAATGTCTTTTAACTCAAACTTCACTCTCAGATTTTTAACAAGTTTTCCACCCACACTTCATCAATGCTTTTCCTAATCTTTCATGTTGCACTGCCAAACTCTGAAACCTGCCTCAAAGAGATCACCAGATAAAAGAAAATAAATGAAATATAAAGTGGTTATTTCAGAATAGAAAATGGGAGATCAGAATTGTTTAAGAGTCCCTATTGGGATCATACTTTACTGCAATGAATAACTGATATCAACAAGAAAAACCCTATGTTGGGTTCTTTCACATTCTTTGGCAGCTGGCCAAAGAACCTACCGAAAGTTTGGGAGTACACACTCTTTTTCATACAAAGCGCCCCCATAGGAACACCAGGATAGCTCCAATTCATTTGAGGCCTCACCTGTAAAAAGCGGCTGTCACAGGGACAGCCAGGACACCCACTAGTTTGTGGAGATCCCTGAGAAAGTGTGATTTTTTAATCTGGACTATACTTAAGTTTCACCAGCCTTTTTCATTGTATTCATAGGAAGTAGCAGCTGGTCTACCAGCACTCAAACTACCTTTCTCATTCTAGGTTTTCTGTATAATTGCTATGGCTTTGGAATTTTACAACTGATATTCTGTATAACTTGAAGAAGTAATTATGTCTCCTAATTCCAGGTTTGCAGTTTCCACATATCACTTTATTCAGTTGAGTAGCCATATGGACACCAACCATCTATGAAAAAAGGTTTTCCTCAAAGATACAACTTAACACTGTACATTTAGGAAGTAGTTGTACTAAAACAAAATAGGCCAAAAAAACCATACTTATGGTTGGTATTTGAGATAAAAATCTTTCAATGTAGAGCCTAGTGGTTTATTTATTGCAAAGTTCAAACTGAGAGCTGTGAATTTACTACATCCATTTAAAATAAATAACTTATATGAAATACAGATTCTGGCATAGATATAAGATGTGAAAATCAGAATCAATGGATTGAACCTGCATATTTCATTTGCTCACAAACTTGCACACTAATATTCTGCAAAAAAGACAATTGCAGCAAAGGAATAAGAAAACTGCCCTTTTGCAAATAAGACTAAAAGCATCCCTCCAAAGAGGACAAAATCAACATGCATATATACGTATAAAGTGTTACTGCTCAACACAAATGCTATTTCTAGAAAAATTGAACTGCATAGGTTAAAACAAAAAACAATGTGCAACATCTTAAGCCATTAAAGCACCAAAATAAAAAAAACACACCAAAATCATTGTTTTTATGACGATTAACGTACACAAAATAAGAAATATTGATCAAAACTCAGGAAGTAAATACCTGGACTGATACAACGTCCATTGTTGGGAGAATTTTTCTTCAATTTACATGTCTCTTCTCATCTCTAAAAAAATTTTAAAGTGCTAACTTTATATAAAGCAGGCAAATTCTTCAAGTAATTTGCTATTTAAGTATGCCAATTTTTATAGAGCTAAACAAGGAACTAAGAATAAACTAGAGTAAACCAGAAGATAGCCATGGGGAAAAAACTGACAAGTTATAGCTGCACAAAGCAACAGAATGCTGTAATACCACCTTGGCCTTCTTGTTTGAATTAAATGCATAAGCTAACAGATTTAGGTGTCTGTTGGTTTTAGTACACTAACTCCCTTGGATTTGCTAAACTTTATACATCAATAGGTATACAGAGTCCTAAGGAAAAGAGTGCCACTTAAAAATCAACACTGGACACTAATTAAAGCAATTTTAAAAATAAAAGGTTGTCTACTACTGTAAAAGAATATAAAATGTAATAGATCTTACAACCTAAGAAATGAAGCCTTGTCCAAAGTTTAATTACTCCTGCCCTTTAGCTGCTTTTTCAAGGAAGTATACATTAACTAAATGGCGATTGAGGTGTTTGCTGTAATCTTTTTCCTTTCTAAAAGAACGATCACAGAAGATACAAACAAAATCTCCCTCAGCCACTTTGACTGCCAAAGCTTCCTTTGCATTTTTTCTATTAGTTTCTTGTGGAACTGGCCGCGCCCCATTCAATCCAGAATCATCACTACCCTCTGACATGTTGTCACTTAGGTCACTTCCATCATGACTGTGGATGCCTTCATCTTCATCCATTTCCTGAGACTCATTTACTGCCATGGTGACAGGAGGTGATGCCACAGCAGTTTTGGACACTGCTTCATGGTTTTCTATTGGTAAGGGAAGAAGCAGTGGTGGAGTTGGTTCTTCAACTGCTAAGTCTTTGCCAGGGGGAATCTCTGTTTTGTTCTCACCTGTGTCCATGTCCACTTCACAGACCATAGTGTCAGCCTGATGTTTACAATCTAAAGTTTCACTCTCTGGCACATTCAAATTTTGTTCAGTGGATGAAATATTGGCAGATTCCTCGATAACAGCAGCAAGACCAGTTAGATTCTTATCTGCCTCTTCTGCTTCTACTTTTTGAAGAGGGGCTTCTTTATTTCCTTCACTTTCGGTGAATGATTTTTGGTCTTTTGACTCCTCTTCTTTTAAGTTTTCCTTTGGCAGCAGTGGGGGTGGTGGTAAAAGATCCTGTGCACCTGTGCTTTCCTTTAGATGTTGGCTATCTTTAACAGGCACTAAGCCAACTTCAATAAGGACTTGCTCCTTCCGTGCCTTTTCACTCTCCATGTTCAACTTTTCCTTTTTATTATCTTTTCGAGGAGACTTTTTGGGAATTGGCTCCATGTGAAGAGGAGGCTCCATGGGAGGTGGCGGCTCCATCTGAACAGGCCCCTCCTGAACAACCTCCATCTGAGCAGGCCCCATGGGAGGAGGCGGCTCCATCTGAGCAGGCCCTGTCTGAGGAGGCTGCATGGGAGGAGGGGGCTCTGTCTGAGCAGGCTGTATCTGAGGAGGCTCTATCTGAGCAGACCCCCTCTGAGCTGTCTCCTTCTGAGCAGGCTTGCTTTTTTTACTTGATTTATTTTTCAGAGTTTTCTTCTTTGTACTTTTCTTCATGCAAGTATTTTGCTTTTTATTCTCCTCTACTTTGCTGTCACCCTTTGGCACTTCCTGATTATTTTTGGATTTGCTCTCTGTCTTCTTTTTCTTTTTTGTCACAGGTTCCTCATCATTAACAGGATCTTGTAAGGAATGGGCTTCAGGTTCCATCTTCCTTTTGCTCTTCTTGGTTTTACAGGTTTTTTCTGAATTATTTCCTGTATGCACATCCATCTCTTTAGTTTCCATTGCTGATTTCCGAGTTCTGGTAGTCACTTGGATTGAAACATTACTACAAGTCTTTTTCTCTTTTGAAACATTATCTTTTTTCTCTACTTTTACAGACTTCTCATTTTTCTTTCCAGCTACATCCCCCTTTATTTTTGTCTGCTCTGTTTCTGTTTTTTCATTAATAATATTGTTATCAGGCAAGTCAGCCTCTCGCTTTTTGGTTTTCTTTAGTTTCACTTTTGAGACATCCATTGTTTTATTAGGACAAGTAGGATGCTTAGATTTGAAATGATATTGCAGATTACACTTCTTGGAAGCTGCATAGTCGCATACAGGGCAATTGAACTGCCGTGGATTAACATGTAGCTCTACATGTTTCTTGAAGTTACTCCTATCTGCTGTTTTGTAGTCGCAGTGTGGGCAGTTAAGAGGTTTAGGCCCATTGTGAACCTGTCTTGCATGGCGAGTTACTTCATGTTGATTAGAGGCCACATAACTGCACTGATCACATTTAAATGGCTTCTCACCTGAAGGTAAACAAGAGAGGTTAAAGACATAGATTAAGAAATGAATTCAAGATTTTATTAAAATATACTTTTATAAGGAATTGGAAGTTAAAAACACCACAACAATTATTTATTGAAAAGATTGTATCATGCACCTTATATTTACCATATTTATTTGTATATCTTTTCTCTATCCCTTGACATTGATTCTCAAACCCAATCAAGGAATAACTATCTCAGTTAGCCATCGTCTTCTAAAAAGTTCATCAAGCTAGGGCTCTCAAGCACTATTTTTTTTTTTTTTTTTTTTTTTGACAGTAAGTAGGATTTATTGGTGGGCGTGAGTAAGGAGGAGGCAGTGCTGAAGCTCTCATGAGTGCAGGGCCCGCCATTTGTCCAGGGGGCCACGATTAGGGATGTATTTGACCCCACAGCCATCCGGGATGAGCCGCTTTTCAGCCACTATGTCTTCAAATTTATCCGCGTTAAACTTAGTAAAACCCCACTTCTTGGAGATGTGGATCTTCTGGCGGCCAGGGAACTTGAACTTGGCCCTGCGTAGGGCCTCAATCACATGCTCCTTGTTCTGCAGCTTGGTGCGGATGGACATGATGACTTGGCCAATGTGGACCCTAGCCACTGTGCCCTGGGGCTTTCCAAAGGCACCCCGCATACCTGTCTGGAGCCTAGACTGGGGACAGCAGGAGATCAGACACGAAATGTCCACTGGAAAGGGCTGTCTCCAAGGTCCCTTAGGGCAACCCATACCAAGCAACAGGCTGCATACACTACCAAGGAGGCTGCTGTTCGCAGCCACTGCACACCATGCCCCCATGGGGAAAAGAGCACGGTCGGCTTAATTGGCTGCAGTCTCAAGCACTATTGAAGAGCAGAGATTCATCAAAAAGTACACAATTCTTGGCAGTTAGTTGGGCTCTGGATGTCAACTTTGGGGCAAAGACACTCAGAGAAGATAAATTTAAATTTTTTATGTTTAGTTAAAACAAATGTATAATGGAGTAGAACATAAAATTCATACATTTTTTAAGATAAATCTTGAGACTTCAAAGAAAAATCCTGTACGGTAATTAAGCTACACGCTCAGACCTTCAGCTGCAAAAGTTTTAAAATACTGCTTTAACCTCAGGGAGCAAAGTCTTTTTCTTTAAATTTAACCCTTTTGTCCACTGTGGCAAGAATTGAGTCAAGTTTCACTCAGCAAACTTTTCCAAAGCCAGAGTTGCTATTTTAAAGCAAAAGAGCCAAGTCAGAAAACTTTTCTTGATTTTTCCCCCACCTTCTTCTAAAAAATGGGCAAAGAAACTAGGTAAATGAGAAGTGGCATACAAATAGATATGGTATGTAAAATAAGCAAACAAAGTCATAATCACAGGTACATACAAAACCAGAGCCACCCCCACTCCCACCCCCACATTAAAGGCATAAGAGTAACACATTCTACCTGAATACATACCCATCTAGTCACACACTAGTAAATATTACCAAATGGTATCCATACCCCACTGGTCCAATGGAATGCATAGTAGAAAAACGGAAATTGACATTTATGAAAATTCATCTCTCAAACATTCTCAAATTCATATCAAATCTTAATTTTTTCATAAAGCAAAATATTCAGACATTAAGTAAAACCATGTAGATGGTAAGCTTTACCACGATTAGAAAACATCTGATGATAAAAGACTCGATGACAAAAACAAAAATGTATCCAGGTACATCAGACTGGATAAGGAGTTAACTGGATGGCCTAAAACTCTTACCTGCCCACACTGTGACTACAAAACAGCAGATAGAAGTAACTTCAAAAAACACATAGCTACATGTTAATCTTCTTCATCTTAGTCCACTAATAGATTCATAAATGGGTTTCTACACATGCTACATGACTCTATACTTAGTCCTATCTTGTCTCCAATGAATCACTTCAATGGAGACAAACATTTTCTTAACACACATAGACATGGAATGGGGAAAGATAGGTGGCATAATAGTTAAGAACTTATTCTAGAGTAAGAATATCTGGGGGATCAAATATGGGCTCTGCAACTCACTGTGAGATCTTGAGCAAGGGACTGAAAGCTCGCTACGGCTCAATTTCCTCATCTGTAAAATACTCGAGTGCTGTGAATTATAAACACTCTAATCTATATAAAGCACTTAGCATAGGGCAGATAGCCAAGCAGTCAATATGCTTTACCTATAAGTCATCACTTTTGGAATGGACTGGTAATTTTTAGTATGGGTAAACAAAAGGGAAGGATTCATGTGTTTATCCTGCCTTTCCATATAAACCCTACCTCTGAGTAAACAAATAGCTGATGAATGGATTTATCTCTTCACAAAAATATCTGTCCTAATAAAAAAATCATAATGAAAATATCAGCATTTTATAACCCCTAATGAATGAGGGTATTTACACAGCAAGCATCAATCAGGGTGCAAGCCTCCACCTATCATATGGTCAGGGAACGGGAGGATGTAGGAATCTGTTTAAAATTTGATGGCATAATTTACTTGCTCCATTCATACCCACCCACCCCCAATTTTTGTTTTATTGCCATTAAATCTTACTTGTATTAACTATCAAGTCATCAAAATTTTATAGTTTATTAGTGCCTAGCTGAATATAAATTTTTTTGCCCTATACCAATGGTTTTAACTTAACGCCCTTTTCCAATTCTAGTAATATTTACCAATGTTTTTCACCTTTATAAATGTGTCAGATGTCTATTTTATACTTCCAAAGTTAATTTACAGGTGTGTAAGGCAAATTCAGAAGGGGAAATATTTTTACAAGCTTAACACATTATCAAGAATGATCCAGAAAGAACAAGGGAAATTCTTAATTAAAGAGTAATAGTGACATACAACTGATTACTACTGAGCAATAAAAGCAAAATTCTGATAACGTAACATGGGACGAACATTTATAGGGGAATATTCTTTTTTTTTTTTTTTTGTGAGCAAGATCAGCCCTGAGCTAACATCCACGCTAATCCTCCTCTTTTTGCTGAGGAAGACCAGCTCTGAGCTAATATCTATTGCCAATCCGCCTCCTTTTTTTTTCCCCCTAAAGCCCCAGTAGATAGTTGTATGTCATAGTTGCACATCCTTCTAGTCGCTGTATGTGGGACGCAGCCTCAGCATGGCCAGACAAGCGGTGCGTCAGTGCACGCCCGGGATCCGAACCCGGCCCACCAGTAGCAGAGCGTGCGCACTTAACCACTAAGCCATGGGGCTGGCCCGGGAATGTTCTTTTTGATAGGAGAAGTCAGAGTACTGGTTGGGGGGAGACTATGGCGGTACTGACTGGAAAGGGTAAGGAGGGAATTTTTCTGAGGGTGGTAGAAATGTTCCATGTTTTCATCTGGGTGGTAGTCTAACAAGTGAAAATATACATGAAGTCACTGAAGTGTATATTTAAGATATGTGCATTTTCATGTGTGCAAATTAAAACTCAATAAAATATTGTTTAAAAATTATTTTAGAATTCACAAAGACTCTCAAATCATAACATCTTTCAAATAAACCAAGCTATTAAAACAGTGCCTCCATAATAATCATCCAATACCTGGTGAAAGAAAAACAAATTTACTGCCAAATAAAATAATTTTCCATCTTAAAAGAGTAATAGAGCTGGCCCCCTGGCTTAGCAGTTAAGTGCGCCCGCTCTGCTACTGGCGGCCTGGGGTTTGGATCTCGGGCGTGCACCGACGCACCGCTTGTCCGGCCATGCTGAGGCCGCGTCCCACATACAGCAACTAGAAGGATGTGCAACTATGACATACAACTATCTACGGGGGCTTTGGGGGAAAAAGGGAGGAGGACTGGCAATAGACGTTAGCTCAGAGCCGGTCATCCTCAGCAAAAAGAGGAGGATTAGAATGGATGTTAGGGCCGGCTCCGTGGCTTAGCAGTTAAGTGCGCGTGCTACACTGCTGGCGGCCCGGGTTCAGATCCCGGGCGTGCACCGACTCACTGCTTCTCTGGCCATGCTGAGGCCGAGTCCCACATACAGCAACTAGAAGGATGTGCAACTGTGATATACAACTATCTACTGGGGCTTTGGGGGAAAAATAAAAAAATAAAATTATAAAAAAAAAAAAAAGAAGAATGGATGTTAGCTCAGGGCTGATCTTCCTCACAACAACAAAAAAAGAGTAATAAATGGTGGAACTTGGCTAGTTGTTAATTCCCTTTAACAAACATCCATTATGCTTTAATGGAAAAATATTCAGGGGCCGGCCTGGTGGCGCAGTGGTTAAGTGCACGAGCTCTACTTCGGAGGCCCAGAGTTGGCAGGTTCAGATCCCGGGCATGCACCGACGCACCACCTGTCAAGCCATGCCGCGGCGGCGTCACATATAAAGTAGAGGAAGATGGGCATGGATGTTAGCCCAGGGCCAATCTTCCTCAGCAAAAAAAGAGGAGGATTGGCATAGGATGTTAGCTCAGGGCTGATCTTCCTCACAAAAAAAATAAAAATATTCAAAATGAACTCCTATGTTAGCAGGATAGAGACCCGGCCAGTGTGATGATACAAAAAAATATAATGGCAAATACAAACTGGATGTATTTCATCCAGTACAAAAACATTTCATCCAGGATGAAATGGTAGCATCTCCACTGAGAATAGGAAAGGGAGAGCTGAGGATAAAATGCCAGTGCCTCTAGGTACCACCCAGGTGAGGATACTCTAACACCATTAGGTAGAAATACCACTAAAATGGAGAATAACATCAGATTAGGTTAGTGTGTCTTTGTTTTCACCAACATCCAATTTTCTTTTTCACCAAACCAACATTCTAATCCCTTCCCAATTTGGCCTGAGAAGACCTACCCTATGGATGAAAGTGCTCCAAGTAAACAACCAATGTCCTTTTGCTTCATAAACCAATCTTTGTCAGTTTAGCTAAAATGTACTAACTCAACAAAGCCTAATCTCTGCAAGAAATAAAGGACTGAGCACACTTCTCTTCCCTAAAATACATTCACATGAACAAGGAACCAAAATGCCCAAGACAATCTGTAAAGATCAGACTCCAGACCAAAGAGAAGGCATCTAAGATACTCACTCCATGCAACCCAGTTAGAAACACTAAACCCACCCAATTTGACCTAATAACTTAGCCTCACTTTAACGCAAGTGTTATCAGCAACTTCTATTAAAAGTACTAAAACATAGGATCTGCTGAAAATAATTCAGCACACTCATACCACAAAACAGACTAACGATGTTTGTTTCCTGTTTGCGACTCACAAACTTGGCATCCAATAAAAGACAATGGCTCTGCCTTCTCAATACCCTGTGGTTCCAATTTCATTATGCTGTAGCTTATTGAGCCATTTTCTTAGCCATAATGTTCTTTTAACACTGTTGATAACTGAAAATGGGAGGGTGAAGGAGTCTGAGGCCAAATCTTAGCTCTTCTAATTTGGAAGAATGACAATTAACCTTAGATAAAGCATTTATCCTCTCTAAACCTGTATCCTAATCTACAACTAGGATTAAGTATTTTAGGAGTACTAAGATTAGAGATAACAAATCCCAATTTTTCAGTACCTAGCATGCATACAGTCATTAGTAGCTACTATTCATTATTAACAAACTTTTAAAATACTTGCTGTACTGCAACAAACAGCAACTACTGAAAATCATCTTTAAAATATAGCAGAGAAAATTCAAAAGACAACAGCAAACTCAAAATCGTTCAGGCAAAGATTATCGACTCGTGTAAAATACCATAGAGAAACACTTATACAGTGAGAAAAGTATTCTCAATTCAATGAAAAAGATACAAGTGTGTCATCATTCTAATCTAGTGACCCAGCAACAGTAATAATGGGTCAACCAGTCATGACTTTAAATGAGACATCATGAAGTAGGTATCAAGCATTTAGATTTAATTTCTAGTGTACAAGTGATACTAGGCACAGGGACAGAGGAAAAACTAAATGACACCATGAGAAAGCAAGTAAGACAAAATCTAGAAAGGGGGACATTCTACAGGAAAAATGGTCATATTTCTTCAATGCCTTAGTTTCCCCATTTGTAAAATGGGGATAATAATAGAACTTATACATGATAGAACAGTTATGAAGACTAAAATGAGTTAATTCATGTAAAGCTCTTAAACGATGTGAGGGCTAGAGCATAGCTATCAACAAGACATGATGCCTACCCTCCACACAGCCTGCAACAGCATCCAAGTTACCCTCAGAAAATGAAACCAGGAAGCACCCAGAAGTAATATAATCAAGGATTCTGATTAAGTGACCCACATCAATAGCTTAGGAGATTTACAAGGAACACTCAAAGTATATTAACACGACAAGCTTGCAGGGTCAAGAAAGGCTAGCAAGCATACTACGTGACCCCTTCATAGCTGCTCAAATCAGAATCTGTACTATAATCAAATCTTACTCATCACTGACTTTATACAGCAATACCCAAGAGAAATAAAACGCAAGCAATATATGCAATTTTAAGTTTTCTAACAGTCACACTACAAAGGTAAAAAGAAACAGGTAAAATTAATTTTACTATTTAACCCAATATATCCAATACCACGTCAACACGTAATCAGTATTTAAAAAATAGATAGGGCCGGCCCCGTGGCTTAGCGGTTAAGTGCACGCGCTCTGCTGCCGGCGGCCCGGGTTCGGATCCCGGGTGCGCACCGACGCACCACTCCTCCAGCCATGCTGAGGCCGCAAGTCCCACATACGGCAACTAGAAGGATGTGCAGCTATGACAGACAACTATCTACTGGGGCTTTGGGGGAAAAATAAATAAATAAAATCTTTAAAAAATAGATAATTTACATTTTCTCCATACTGTTTGAATTCCGGTACATATTTTATACATCTTAATTCAAGCTAGCCACATTTCACAAACTCAATAACCACATGTGGCTAGTGACTACCCAATCAGACAGCACAGATTTAAGATAACTGTTAACTTAACTGTTAACTTTTGTGAACAGCAAAATTTTAGTATACAGTATAGAATATATACCACAGTGGCATATATTCTAAATCCGGAAGAACAGTGTTGTATTCTGATCAGACATGGTGAGTTCGCCAAGGCAAAATGAAATAATTATCCAATCAAGACCACCTATGGTCTATTTTTTATTTACTTTTTAAAATTTTTTAAATATTTACTTTTTAAATTGGCCACCTACATACCTTCATAATGGGGACCAATTCTGGTTGGTGATCATAATTATTACAGTCACTGGAGTAGATGAACCTCCCACTTCTTATAATCCTGCATTTTATCTATTACAGATTAACAAATTGGTATCCTGGTATCATTCTTTAAAGTTTACTTTTTGGGCCGGCCCCATGGCTTAGCAGATAAGTGCGAGCGCTCCGCTGCTGGCGGCCTGGGTTCGGATGCCGGGCGCGCACCAACATACCGCTTCTCCGGCCATGCTGAGGCCGTGTCCCACATACAGCAACTAGAAGGATGTGCA